AAAAAGCAGACTGACTTATTTCCTCACTAGGCAAAAGAGGGAGTTCCTTTTCTTCCATGTCTTCTTCATATCTAATAAAAAACAAACATATTTATCACCATGAACATCAATATAATGTTTAGTTGTAATCTACCACATCTCTCACACTTTTCCAATACATCATTCTTTAGCAACTAACTCTTGGATTTGGCATTATTTGTTTTCCACCAATTGATGGAATTCAGTTTTTAATTTTGTTCTTAATTGTCTAAAGTTGCTTTGCTTTTTAGGTAAAGCAGATAAATCCTTTTCAGCTAAATGCAATTGATTTTGCAATCCTTTGTTTTCTTCTGTGAGATTTTTGTTTTGTGATTTTTTTTCTGAAATTATCTTATTAGACACCTCTACTTTTTCTTTTTCTTGTTTTAGTTCTCATTCTAATTCACCAATTCTTGCATCTTTATTCTCAATTTTAAACTCTTCTTCTTTTTCAGCTAATTGCTTCTTCAATAATTCTATTTCATTTATTATTGTTTTATTTGCTTGTTGTTGTTCATTTATTATGTTTTTCATGATTTACTTGCTTGTTCCTTTTTTTATTTATTTAGTATACTTATATCCTTTTTATAAGGGTACATTAAGTATATAAATTATTTTAGTACTTTTTTTGCTTTAAAAGTGAAAAAAGCTAACAATTTTGTCAAAAGATTAAACTTATTAAAACTTAATGACAGCAAGAGACAAATCAATGAATGGCAAATTCATAGAAATATTTTTATTCTGAATATCTTATTTGTTTCTAGTATAGAATGGTCTTGGTCAAGTAATATCTTTGTATTCATCTTTCACAAATGGACGAATATTCTGGTAAAGATATACTTGCCTTTTGTAATCCAAAGGAGGTGGTGTTAACACTAAAATAGATAAAGCTCTAATTTCTTCAAAAATATCTGCTTACTTGGTTTTCAATAAATTGAACTCAACAAAAGGTCCATTAGCAACTTCTTGAACTTTTACTGTACCAAGATTAGATGCTTCAAAAAGAAAATGTTGGTATTTCCATATACTTGGTAATTTCTTAAAATAAATTCCCAAAATTGCTTTAATATCTAAGTATTGAAAACCTTTTCCTACCTTGTAGCATTGAGCTTTATTCAATCCTGCTGGACTAGATCTTTTCACTACATCAACTACATGGTCCAGACAATCTACCCTTGTCTTTC